ATATAAGAACAATCATTTAGGGGACTAAAGACCTTTACCCTCAAGATCAAAGTATAACATGGTAATAGATGAGTAGATATGTAATATAATATATCTAGAAACAGAGTTATATTGTCTAATCATATTATGTCTAATCAATAATTAGGCAGATGTGGTTGCCTTCAAGCAATTGAATACCAAAACAAATTATATGAAGGAAAGGTCAATTACAATCATTGCCACACCCTTCTTTGCATAACATTAAAATTCGTAACTTTATATGTAACTATGGTCATATATTAAGACATAATTAACAAGTAAGAAGTCAAATAAGGAGGCAACTTATACGGAGAAAGAAGATTCTGGCTAACAAAAGCGACAACAAAATAATAAAAACAAATTAAAAAATATTTATTTCCACTGGATGTAAACATTTATCAAGGAATTATTTGTGGCAGGAGCTTACAACGATGAAGCATTAGTTCTGCGCCCACATGTGGTGAATAGATGGTCTAGATTTGATATTATATATAATTATCTAAAAATAGAACATATAATTAATTTGCAAGTAGGATTCTTTCTTAACTATAAATGTGAGATAATGGTCTAGATTTGACAGTATAATTATCTAGAAAACAAAGTTAAGTCTGCTGATCAATGAGCTGGCATTTTAAGTATATAACATCCCGGCCATTGTTTTAAAACCCAGATCTGACGACAACCCATTTACTGCACGGTCACGGGTCAATCGATTGGACCATTGACTCAACGATAATTTTATTTTAAAAAATTATTATTAATCCCTTAATTTTAATATATTACAAAAATTCCCCTAAAAAGTTATTAGCCCCTAAAATTTTTATTTATTCAAAAATATCTCAAAAAATTACTATTAATCCCTAAACTTTTGACATATCTTCAAAACACCCCTATAAAATTACAATTAACCTCATATTTTGAAATATACAAACCCCCCTATGACCTGAACCAGACCGGAGAAGTTGTCGGTCCCGGTCTGATCGAACTAACCGGCCGGCCGATCTAATTTTTAAACAGAGATCCCAACTCACTATAAAGATATTAGATTTATCTCTTACCTATCTCAATAATGGGCCGACTCGAACTCACCTCAAATAGTGGTGAAAGAAAAACACAATATCTTGACACGATTGGAATGTAAGTTAAGCCTCTTATGTTTTGTCAAAAATCATGATTTTGTCCTTCTGTTAATATAAAGACGCTCGCTTTCTTTGGAAAGCTGACACTTCTTCTATAGAAATAGAAACAATATAATATCAATAACAATATATATGTGAAAGGTCTATTACAAGAGCATTCTCAATCTTCATAAATGCATGAAATTTACATCTTTGTAATAATGAGTACACAAATTAAGACATTAATTGACAAGTAGATTTATAATGTGCCTAAGTTGTTTTGCTACATCAATCATTGTGGCCTGTCTTCGCCTGAAGGAGAGAGACATTTAAAGGCAAGCTCTGCAAATGCTTGCAATTGCTCTTCTTTTTGGGAGATAGTCCAAACCAACAACTATGGGATCAACTACCTAGAAACCTCTCTTGCTCAATGTTTTTTTCACAACACGCTCCAAAGGCCCATCAAAATGATATTCAGTAGGCCTAATGGGAGAATCATCACGCCCAAAGGCCCATCAGAATGAGTTTCAGCAGGCGAACTGGGAGAATCATCACGCTCCAAAGGCCCATCAAAATGAGTTTCAGTAGGCGAATGGGAGAATCATAAGAATGAGATTCAGAAGCGAACTGGGAGAATCATCAAGAATTTCAGTAGGCCAACTGGAAGGCTGATGTGATTTGAGACCAGTCAAAAGCACAAGTAGAATTCTACCAAAGCTATGACATCCACCTTTTCATTGCATTTTCGTGTGATAGCGTACTCAGGTGCCATAAATCCATATGTTCCTACCATTGAACTATCTTCTACGTGAGTTTCACCTTCTGGAATAGCGATGAGTTTGAAAAATCAAACAATTTGGCAACATATTGTTCAGTGAACACAATATTGTAGGCTTGATTGATCTAAAAATAATGGGTCGAGAGAACCCAAGATGGAGATACGCAATTGCATTAGCTATCTCCTAGCAATCTTTAACCGATGTGTCAATACAAAGGCCGAAATGCGGTTCACTTGAACGATAAATACGATCAGCAAGATCCCATTCTCCACATGTTCAAAACTAGAATGGGAGCTTCAGTCTCTAAACAACATCCATCACTTCAACAAAATTTTTGTCTCTTTGCGATGCAAATACGATGCTATTAATACTATTTTCGGTATACTCACTGAAAAATTCAAAACAGAAACCAGTCGATCTTGTAAAAACCGCTATACAATGAATACCAACCTTGTGTTATATATATTCTGTTGATCATAGTTGTTTGTTGCTATCTTGATCTCTTTATCAGTGAAGCTACGATATTATTATACTACCATTAGAAGACGCAATCAACTCTTTCAATATTTTACCATTCACAAAATCTTTCCTTTTTTGCTGTTGCTTTCTTTCAAAACCAACTCATCATCTAACCAAAAATGCATAATTAAAATTATCATTAACAATTAAGAACTAAATCCATAGCGGATAGACACAGAAAAAAAACAAAATATTGAAAACCTGGATATTTAATGTACCTGCTTGATTGATGAATGTTCAAGTATCATCCAGACAAAGACAACCGCCTGCAAGGCTTGAGTTTGAGAGAGTCTTCTGATCTTCTTCCTCAACTATTTGATCAATTAATTTGATTAGACTCATCGTTTCACTTATTACCCAGAAGTTGACCACATAGGAATCTGAAATTTTCATCACCAAGATCAGAAGCTTCCTTTGCTTTGATATTGTCAATAGAAGTCAATTTGGGGGCTCATGCTTTCCATGAATTAACAAAATACAAAATAGTTTATTAATGTCCCACTAACTTCATCGAAAGTAACAAATTATAAGAAATGGAAAGTTGTCCCCGACTTTTAATGTGCTGTCAACTTTTGATTTAACACTCCAAGGCATTAAGACGATGACACGTTACCCATCAAGGCCGCACCACCCACCTAGGACGACAGAATGACTTTTCCCACCCACAGTTTGGTGAAAACATTTCCAACCCGTAAACTTTGGAAAAAACATTTTCCGTCCCATAGTTAAAATTCAGACATTAGTTTTAAGTTTTAACTGCAAAAGGCATTCTCATCAGTTTGCACAATATACGTTATTACTTATTAGGGATATAAATTTATCTGTTTGAGAAAATGACAAATCACACCATACAAAACAAAGAACCACTCATTTTGGTGGGCTCAAGATATTGTGGCACTAGAGGAGTCAAAAAAGGACACGTAACATTAACGGCAAGTGGTAATAAAAAAATATTACAAATAAAAAATAAAAATAGTTTCTCGTCTCTTACAAATAAAAGTTTTAAGGTTTTTTTTTTCTTCAAGTTTAAAATCTAGAAGGTTTCATTCTCACATTCTCTTCTCTTATAATTTTAAAAAAATAAAATAAAATAAACTATTCTCTCTTCCTTGAAACCAACTAGACTGAGGCAGGGATTGGTCCCAACCAGATCCGGGCCTAGGCTCGATTAGGACCAATCACTCATGGGCCTAGCACCGGTCCCAAGCCCATGAGAAATTTCAGGGCTTGAAAAAAAAATTTTGCCCTCTACCTTTTTTTTATATTTAAGGGGTAAAAAAATTATGTTGAGGGGTTCATGAAATTTTTAAGGGCCTAGAAAGGTTATTTTGTAAAAATTTGAATTTAACCCTCAATAGGTGTCAATTTCAAATTTACAAGGTGTTTTTGGATACTTTTTAGGAAACTTTTTTGAAAAAATGCAAAGGGGTTTAGCCCTATCTAGGGATCGGTCCCTTCTCCATGGGTTTGGTCCGGGTTTGGGACCAGACCTCCTAGGACCCTTTTTTTGGGACCAGTCCCAAATGTCCAGATCTAAAAACAACTTTCGTTTTCAATTTTAGTTGTATTATTTAGTTCTTTTGTTTGCCTACCTATGCTTTGTTTAAAGGTGGGAATCTATAATAAATGCAATCAAAGGTATCAACATAGGATTCTGCTAAACCTCAAGTGGTAATATGTTGTTTACTCTTATAAAAATGGTGAATAGATGGTCTAGATTTGACAAAACACTCAACTCAACTGGGTCTAGCTCTGATATCATGAAAAAATTTGAGATAGGTCTAACTCCTTACCCAATAAGGCCTTGTTGAATGAGAGGATTACCCTCTCTTATAAATCAGTAGGTTTAAGTGTGCCTAGTCAGTGTGGGACTCCAACTCCACCTCATGGCCAAACCCATATATTGGGTCATGCTTGTTGATGAAGGTAATTGCGGGCTCTACATTCTCACCCACTGGTTAAATCCTCAGCTCAACTAAGCCTAGTTCTGATACCATGATAGAATCTGAGATGTGTCTGACTCATAACCTAATAAGGTCTTGTTGAATAAAATGATTATTCCCTCTTATAAACTAGTAGGCTTGAGTGTGTTTAGTCGATGTTGGGCTCTAACATCTAGAATTGGAGTCAATAATTGAGATGATAAAACAAACGGCAAACTCAGAATTTTTGTGACTCATTTGCGATCCAAATACAATGCTATTAACACCACATGTGGCTTCATCATAGAAATTAGTTGAATACTTCATAACAGAAACCAATCGATCTTGTAGAAAAACTTTGTATAATGAATATGGGACCTCCTTTCTTATAATATTCTGTTGATTATAGTTGTTTGTGCTATCTTGACCTCTTTATCAGTGAAGCTACGAATTGCATTATATTTATCATTAGAAGACGCAATCAACTCTTTCAATAAAATTTTACCATTCAACAGAAATCTTTCCTGTTTCTGCCGTTTGCTTCCTTTCAAAAACGAACTCATCATCTAACCTAAAAATGCATAAATGAAATGTAAATCCATTTGCGGAAGAGAGAGAAAAAAATTTCAAAGCTGGATATGTACCTGCGTGATTGATGAAATATTCAAGTGTCATGCAAGATAAAGAACAACGCCTGCAAGGCTTGAGTTTGAGAGAGGATCTTCTGATCTTCTTCCCCAGCTATTTGATCAATCTGTCTATTCAGATTCATCAGTTCATTTATTGACGAGAAAAGTTGACCCACTAATACAAAGTACAAAATAGTTCATTAAAAAAAAAAAAAAAAGTGTTGTCAACGTTTGATTTAACACTCGAAGGAATATACTGCAATTTAATACATCAAGACGGTGACACATTACCCACTAAGGCCACACTACCAACCTAGGAATTGACAAATAAACGAGGCAACTGTGGATAACCATCCAACTTTCCATTGAATTTACTTGTCATAACATACTCAGGTGTAACAAATCTGTATGTTCCTGTCACTTCATCAGGTATGTAAGTTTTACCTTCTGGGATAGTCATGGAGAGTTCAAAATCAAACAATTTGGTAGCATATTGTTCATGGAATACGATATTAGATAGTTTTACCTTCTGGGATAGACATGGAGAGTTCAAAATCAAACATGGGTCGGGTGAACCCGAGATGGAGATATGCAATTGCCTTAGCTATCTCCATTGCAATCTTTAACCTATATGTCAATAAGAAAGGCTAGAAATGTGGTTGGCGTGAACCATAAATATTTGATTAGCATATACTCCACACATTCAAATACTAGAACAAGAAAATAAGTTTCTAAACAGCATCCAATCAACTTCAAAATAACTTTGTGACTCATTTGAGACTGAGAGAGTCTTCTGATCTTCTTCCTCAACTATTTGATTTGACTCATCAGTTCACTTATTGACTAGAAAGTTGACCCACTAAAATCTGAAATTTCCATCATCAAGATCAGGAAGCTTCCTTTGCTCTGATATTGTCAAATGCGAAGTCAAATTTGGAGGCTCATGCTTTCCATGAATTAAGAAAATACAGAATAGTTTATTAATTCCCACTAAGCTTCATCAAAAGAAACAAATTATAAGGAATGGAAAGTTGCCCCTGACTTTAATGTAATACTGTGATAAATAATAGCATCAAGACCGATCAAAGGCCACACTACCAACGTAGTGTCACGGCAGACTCATGCCCAGTTCATGTGAGGTCTAATATACAAGTCAAAAGACCTGAGCCAAACTTGACCTACAAGTATCAAAAGAATATGTTAGAGAATATATGTAGAAGCTTTCTACATATTAACCGAATAGGTTTGAGATTTTATGCTTGTGCACTTAATCCTAATCATTCTCTCAATAGATATGTACGGATCTAGTCTTATTACACCATATCCAATCCATTGCTTGTATACTTAATAATATCTACTTGTAAAATTTTATATAAGCTAGCTAGTATTAGGTTTAGTTCATTCCAAACATTGTATTCAGTTAGAGTAATACAATAAGTTTTTCTCTTCATCTCTCTCTTTACGAGTTTGTGGATTTATTGAAACTACTTATATTTCGTGTTCAAATGCCCAATCGCCAAAAATGAGCAACAAAAATAATGTAAATGATGGAAAAATTTGGTTCTTCTAGTAACATCGTAACATGCGAATCATAGAAAGTAAGTGATTCACCACGATGTTGTTGTAGCTCACATATAACATAAAGTATATAGATATAAATCAAGAATTCTTTTTTTTCTTTGTTAAACAAAATTTTGATATGAATCTCATCAACAAAAGAACATTTTCTATAAATTCCAAGCATGTGGGAATCCGTCATATATAACTTGGGCTTGTAGAAGCTTGGTAGAACTCAAGCCCATATAACATGGGGTTTGATAGAATTCAAACCCAAAAGCTAACTCATATATAACGTCGGATTAGGTAAAGTTCAAACCCAAAACTAGCTCAAACTATATATATAGAACAATCATTTAGGGGACATAAAGACCTTTACCCTCAAGATCAAAGTATAACATGGTAAATAGATGATGTAGATATATAATAAATTATCTAGAAACAGAGTTATAATGTCTAATCAATAATTATGTCTAATCAATAATTAAGGCAGATGTGGTTGCCTTCAAGCAATATGAATACCAAAACAAATTATATGAAGGAAAGGTCAATTAACATGGCATTGCCACACCTTCATTTGCATAACATTAAATTCGTAACTTTATATGTAACTATGGTCATATATTAAGACATAATACAAGTAAGAAGTCAAATAAGGGGCAACTTATACGGAGAAAGAATTCTGGCTAACAAGAAGCGACAACAAAAATAATAAAAACAAATTAAAAAATATTTATTTCCACTGGATGTAAACATTTATCAAGGAATTATTTGTGGCAGGAGCTTACAACGATGAAGCATTAGTTCTGCGCCCACATGTGGTGAATAGATGGTCTAGATTTGATATATATATTACTAAAAATAGAACATATATAATTAATTTGCAAGTAGGATTCTTTCTTAACTATAAAATGGATAGATGGTCTAGATTTGACAGTATAATTATCTAGAAAACAAAGTTAAGTCTGCTTGATCAATGAGCTGGCATTTTAGTATATAACATCCCGGCCATTGTTTTAAAACCCAGATCTGACGACAACCCTTTACTGCACGGGTCACGGGTCAATCGATTGGACCATTGACGTCAACTAATTTTATTTTTAAAAAATTATTATTAATCCCTTAATTTTAATATATTACAAATTCCCCTAAAAGTTATTAGCCCCTAAAATTTTTATTTATTTCAAAAATATCCAAAAAATTACTAATTAATCCCTAAACTTTTGACATATCTTCAAAACACCCCTATAAAATTACAAATTAACCCTCATAATTTTAAATATAACAAAACCCCCCTATGACCTGAACCAGACGGAGAAGTTGTCAGGTCCCGTCTGATCGAACTAACCGGCCGGTCCGATCTAATTTTTAAAACAGAGATCCCAACTCACTATAAAGATATTATAGATTTATCTCTTACCTACTCAAATAATGGGCCGACTCGAACTCACCTCAAATAGTGTGTGAGAAAAATCACATATCTTGACAACAGATTGAATGTTAAGTTAAGCCTCTTATGTTTTGTCAAAAATCATGATTTTGTCCTTCTGTAATTATAAAGACCTCAGCTTTCTTTGGAAAGCTGACACTTCTTCTATAGAAATAGAAACAATATATTATCAATAACAAATATATGTGAAAGGTTCTATACAAGAGCATTCTCAATCTTCATAAATGCATGAAAATTTACATCTTGTAATATGAGTACACAAATTAAGACATTAATTACAAGTAGTTTATAAATGTGCCTAATTGTTTTCTACATCAATCATTGTTGCCTGTCTTCGCCTGAAGGAGAGAGACATTTAAAGGCAAGCTCTGCAAATGCTTGCAATTGTTCTTTTTTGGGAGATAGTCCAGAACCAACAACTATGGGATCAACTACCTCAGAAACCTCTCTTGCTCATGTATTTTTTCACAACACGCTCCAAAGGCCCATCAAAATGATATTCAGTAGCCTAATGAGAATCATCACGCTCCAAAGGCCCATCAGAATGAGTTCAGCAGGCGAACTGGGAAATCATCACGCTCCAAAGGCCCATCAAAATGAGTTTCGTAGGCCGAATGGGAGAATCATAAGAATGATTCAGAAGGCGAACTGAGAATCATCAAAATGATTTCAGTAGGCCAACTGGAAGGCTGATGTGATTTGAGACCATCAAAAGCACAAGTAGAATTCTACCAAAGCTATACATCCACCTTCATTGCATTTGCTGTGATGTCGTGTGCCTAAATCCATCATGTTCCTACCATTGAACTATCTTCTAGTGAGTTTCACCTTCTGGAATAGCGATGGATTTGAAAAATCAAACAATTTGCAACATATTGTTCAGTGAACACAATATTGTATGGCTTGATTGATCTAAAATAATGGGTCGAGAGAACCCAAGATGATACGCAATTGCTATAGCTATCTCCATAGCAATCTTTAACCGATGTGTCAATAACAAAGGCTCGAAATGCGGTTCACTTGAACATAAATACGATCAGCAGAGGTCCCATTCTCCACATGTTCAAAAACTAGAATGGGAGCTTCAGTCTCTAAACAACATCCAATCAACTTCAACAAAAATTTGTGTCTCATGCGATGCAAATACGATCATTAATACTATTTTCGGTATACTCATCTGAAAATTCAAAACAAAACCTCGATCTTGTAGAAAACCGCTATACAATGAATACCAACCTTGGTTAATATAATATTCTGTTGATCATAGTTGTTTGTTGCTATCTTGATCTCTTTATCGTGAAGCTACGATATTGATTATCTTACCATTAGAAGACGCAATCAACTCTTTCAATAAAGTTTTACCATTCAACAGAAATCTTTCCTCTTTTGCTGTTTGCTTTCTTTCAAAAACCACTCATCATCTAACCTAAAAAGCATAAATTAAAATTATCATTAACAATAAAAAACTAAATCCTTAGCGGATAGACACGAAAAAAAAAACAAAATATTGAAACCTGATATTTAATGTACCTGCTTGATTGATGAATGTTCAGTATCATCCAACAAAACAAAACGCCTGCAAGGCTTGAGTTTGAGAGAGTCTTCTGATCTTCTTCTCAACTATTGATCAATATTGATTAGACTCATCAGTTACTTATTACTCCAGACAAAAGTTGACCCACTAGGAATCTGAAATTTTCATCACCAAGATCAGGAAGCTCCGCTTTGATAATTGTCAAATGAGAAGTCAAATTTGGGGGCTCATGCTTTCCATGAATAACAAAATACAAAATAGTTTATTAATGTCCCCTAAGCTTCATCGAAAGTAACAAATTATAAGAAATGGAAAGTTTCCCGACTTTAATGTGCTGTCAACTTTTGATTTAACACTCCAAGGCATTAAGACGATGACACGTTACCCATCAAGGCCGCACCACCCACCTAGGACGACAGAATGACTTTTCCCACCCACAGTTTGGTGAAAACATTTCCAACCCGTAAACTTGGAAAAAACATTTTCCGTCCATAGTTAAATTCGAATTGTTTTAAGTTTTAACTCAAAGGCATTCTCATCAGTTTGCACAATATACGTTATTACTTATTGAGGATATAATTTATCTGTTTGAGAAAATGACAAAAAAAAAAAAAAAAATTCGGAGAAACCCTTTTTTTCTTTTTTTTAATTGTTAGATTTATGGTAAATCATATTCTTTAATGAGCTTCTTTTATATCCTTTTGAGGAGAAT